TTTACTCCTAGGGGAAAGTAATGTGATCATCATAAGGCTGTGAGTTACATCAGTTATAAAGATACTGCTTTGAATTAACAGAAAAGTGACTAGGAAAATTCTTCCTCCTGGAAATCTAGTTCCCAGCTGATTATTTATGTGTTGATATTCATTCTTTCCAAGTAAAAAAAGAAATAAGCTCTTCTTATTAGCCAAGTGAATCAACATAATTGGAATGACAATCATTCTCTTATATCAATTATTGTTCCTCTTCCTCCAAGCCATTAAGAAAAGGCCAGAAAACTCACCTTAGAAAAAAGAAAATCTGTTTGCAGTGACCTTATAAATTAAAACTGCAGGAGTGATAAAATTATAGGGAGAGAAGGATTTAGTCTTTCACTCAAAACACACATTGGAAAGAATTCTATACTCCAATGCATATCTGTAAAGAAGAATTATGAAAACATGCCCTTTCTGATGAGCGAAAGAAATAATAGATCAGCAGATATATCTGAAAATGTAGATACATTAGGATTTCAAAAAATTTAACTCTGCATACAGTTCTGGGGCTGCCTCTCAACCCCAGGGTTGCAGTCAATGTAGGAATCCTTTAGTGAGATAAGTTCTATTTCCAAATAAGGGAGAAGCAGATTTCAAAACCACTTTTCTGCAGTGGAATTAAAAGAGTTCACTCAGTTGTGTCATTAGGATTGTCTCATTCTGACAAGAATCCCCCACCACAACTATTTTCTATACAGTCTCAGGCTGGGTGCAGACACTGATATGTCACTAGACCTCATCCAACTGTGTTTTACACAGACACCAAACAACCATCATAACAATGCAGTCTGTGAGTGATTTTTCATTGTCTGCAATATAAAAGTCAATAATGGTCCCAGATATTGGCAAAGTGCCATTTCTAGTAGACACAACTGAAGGGGGAAGTCCCACTGCAAAAGATGCAGGACAACAGAAAGAAATATTTCTCCTCCTAAGGCTAAGGGTGGGGGGTGAGCAGTGAAGACTGTCCTTCCAAAGTCTTAGGTGGTTATATGGCATTTTAAGATGCCAAACTTCTTAGCATGGTTTTGCTCCAGTTCTAGCACAGCTAATTATGAAGGACACTACGCAGCAGAAGCCATCTGTGTAATTCAGCACAAATCTGTATTACAAAGTATGTGGTCAGAGCAACAGGCAGCGATGTAAAACACATCAGGAAGACTTTTCATTTTCTATTTGGAACATAAGTAACCTTAGAAGTCTGCCAAAATTCCAGAATCATTGATCTTCTGTGAGGAACTGTTTCAGCCTAATGCAGAACACCAGCAGCAGCAGCCAAAGCAAAGATCACCAGCTCACCAGCACTACTGTGCCTTTTTGTAATATCCAATAGCCTGCTGGCTGCTAGATAAGCCATTATGCCTATGACAACTCCTGCTTTTAAAATGGAAATAAAAATCATCTCTATAGCACTCAAATTAAAAATCCACACGCTCCTCCACAGCTTACCTTCAGCCTCTCCCTAGGCCCAGAGTTCTCCAGAGCTGCAGAGTCCCAACTCCAGAGCCCAACTTCACCCCAGCCCAGCCCTGCGCTGTCCCCCAGCCTGTGCCTCCACACCCTCGTTACACCAGGTCACCCCCAGCACACGCTGAGAGCGTTGGGCATGAGAATGGAGCTGCATTTCTGTAAAAGCTGGAAGGCTTATGGCAGCCTCAGCTTTTTAGGCTGGCTGTGAGGGGAAAATGATACCTTATCTGGCACCAAGCCTACTGGTAGAAAGCAGCTTGACATATTTTGATCCAGCAGAATGAGTAAGTTTACACAAGCTCAGTGCTTTGTGTTTTTACTGTGCCACCAAAACACAGTCAGAGAGTACACAAGTCTTACCATTACTGGCTCCTTATCTTGGAAATCTTCTATGTGTATTTCATCCAAGCCCTTTAAGCACCCACTCAGTGTGTGTGCAATCCTGACCTCCCAGGACCGGTGATATTTGCACACCACAGAAACAATGGAGCCATTTGTCTTGTGAGCAGGCCTGGGCAGGGGAGACAGCTCTCTCCCAAAGCTGGCCCCAAACAGGGCATTTGTTTCAAACGACTGAGTTTCAGAGCCTTTAGAAAAAGATATGGTGCTGCTGCTGCTGCTTAAACCTTATTTTCCTCTTTCTAAACTCACACAACCCTTCCCTCTCAAGCTACTGGCTACAGAATGAACAGGAGAAAGGCAAAAGTATATCAGAATACATATAAAAGCAGAGTATTTACTCTTTAGTGAATGCAAAACAGTCCAGGGGAAAGACTTGCAAAAAATAAGTATTGTTAGAAATAGCAGGATCCCCATTGTACTCCATTAAGAATACTGATCATAAACTGCTTTTTTTCCTGGTGATTGACAATGTAAACATCTAATCCTTTGCTTTCCATATGCTTTAGGAGCACTGGACAGACTGTCAAGCAAAGACCATTTCTGTTCTTGCAAATTTCCATGAAGCTCTCACTACAAGTCATTGTTTTCCTACATGCTCATAAAAAAACAAATTTGCATTTAATATCAATCTGCTGGTGCAAGTACAGTGTTTCCTCCTTTACACTAATTAGGCTATTTAAAGATGTTTTCATCAAATGCATGATAAGAACTTCTGGATTGTACCCCTTGAAATGTTCTGCTGAATTTTTGCTAACATTTGGTAACAAATCTCATGAGAGCCTTTAATGGAAGTTAACATTTTTTTCATGTGTCATACTGCAAGTCTTCAAAGCAGAAGTTTATAACAAACTTTTAATGTGACTTTAAAGCTCCCAGTCCTTTTCTAGATATCTGCTTTATGTTTGCTCACATTGCTGACTGCCCATATTTTGGCTGGCTCTGACCAGATCTAAGCAGAAAGGCAAACTGAAATGACGCAGAACTTACTTCTTCCTCCTTTGAACTTCCTTAACAAATAGAAATTTAGCAGCCTGTACATCAGGAAAGTAAGCAACAAGAGAAAAGAATCCCCAAAACCATAAACAACCAAAACCACCCACTCTCATGCCAGCTGTTTTTTTAAACTGATTTCTATGGTTAACAAAAGAGATAGATTGGGAGCCATGAAAGATGAACCATGTTCTGCCCACATCAACAGCACTTCCTGGAGGCCACCAGCAAATTGAACTCCCATTTAGAAAAAAAAACCAAAAAAACCCAAAAAAAACCAAAAAAAAGAGGAAAGAGAAGAAAAAACAAGTTATATTAGGTATGTACCTCTGTATATCAAAAAGGAGTTACTACCTAAGGGAAAGGACAGGTTGATAGCAACTTTGCATGTCCTTTATGATGCACTAATCCTGAGCTGATCAGAAATGATCACTGCAATAAACGCTATAGTTTAGCAACATCCTGCCTGCTCTATGGGCCGTGACCTTGGCTCAGCAATTCCCAAGCACACCTTACCTTACAGCTTCAGAGCTGTGTGGAGGTCTTCAAACCACAAGTTTATGGCTCTGCTCCACAGTACTTGCCCAATAGTGATGTGTTTTCAGTCACGTATTGCGTGTCAGTGGCATGCCTCTGCAACTTGGGAATGGAAATAAGGTAAGGACCTTTCCACAGCTCTACCAGCAAGAGACACTTCAGCTTGTAAAACTCTCTGGCAGTTCAAGGCAATGTAAATCAGCCCTTGCCTTGCAAAAATGCTCACAGCAACACGAGCCATCCCAAAATGAACCCACCAAAACACTGTTGCAGTCTGCCCGACGCTGTAGCAGATGAGCCTGCCACACTTCCCTTCAGGAAGGCTCATGGCAGCACTGCTGGTCAAGCAAGAGCTGTCCATAGAAGAATGAAGGACAGAAAGGCAGCATACATAGTTTTAAATCTCTTTGGACCACTGTAGTCACATCCTGACACATTGATCCTCTTTTCTGGGAAATTAGTTTCAGCCTATAGAAACTACTGAGACTCAAAATTTGTTTTTGTAAGAGTACCACGGGAGTTATAGCCATTCTATTTTGAAATAAAAATGTTTAATCTGCCAAGAAGTATGAGAAAGAAACATTTAAAAATAAAAAGAGAGAAAAAAGTGAGAAAAATACCATAATTCGACTTTTCATGGATATAGCTGTTAAACTGTATTTTAGTTTAAAACCATACAGCACACCAGAATAATTTATTTTAAATTCCTCCTTTGCTTAGGCCTTTGTACTATTTAAAACTTGTCCCATATTGACAATTCCAAGGTATGGAAAGAACTGTCTATAGCATTCCTCTTCCATAAGGCCAAAACTATGCTTTCTAACCAACTATGAAGTGTCTAAGAAACAGAAGTTTTATGCTTTCTTTGGTCATCACACCAGCTTGGTTTTACTGCCTGAAAGAGGAATAGCATGTCTAGATAACTGAACTCTGACAATTAGAAAATCAGACTAGTTAGTGAACTGTCATTTTTTTAAAGCAAGGAGACCTTGTCAATTCTACCTGTCAAGTGAGTTTGGACAGATTGATAAATATTTCAAGAAAACAGAATAAAACCTGTTTTCTCCACAAAGCAGACTTTCATTCAATTTCTTTGCTCACAAGCACATTATAAGAGAGCACAGCACAAGGCTGTCCATAGGACCAGACTTTACTACCAAAACTATTCCAGGTCTTTTGCTCAAGCTACTGCTGTGAACAAGAATGACTTGAAATTCGGTTTCATGGATTTCCTAACAGATAAGATATTATTTATGAGTTGCCTTAGCATTCCTACATTTGAAGCAGTATGAAGTATGATTGGCAGCAACCCAATTTCATTATTCTTAGATGAGTCAGTAAGTGTGGAAAGAGAAATGAAATGGGCAACCAATCAACACAGAAAAAAAAGTCCGATATTCTGAGGCCAAGAAAGTATTTATATGCTGATGACTCAACTTTTGCAGCAGTGTCTGCAGCAAGAACAGGAAATATACTATTGAACCCTCTTATGACAAGAACTTTGATGTGAAAGGCCAGAATAGCTCATTCTGCCTGCTGTGATTCAGAAAGCTGGAACTGTAATCCTGGATCTTTGCAGAATGCACTCACAACAGCTTCAGAGCTCACTACAGGACATCAGAAATGGGTCCTGCAGGACACATGGTAAGTGAATGGATTTCAAAGACTATGGAAAGGAACACAGATGACAAAGGGCTGGCCTTGGAAGCTGCTGTTTCACATACAATGTGTATATAATATATAAGACTCATCTACCTCTGCAGTGGTAGTTGACTGCTGCCTCACAGCCTGGAAGAGATGAGATCCTCCACCATGGCAGGTAAATTCTTATATTGGAATTTTCTGAATCAGAACCTACAATTTACCCCATCCTTTCATGAGTATTTGTGTTGAGGCTTGAGACAGTGGCTTCTTTACAAATTTAGGAACTGCCTCTTGTGCGCCGATTATAATTTGTTTTTCTTCTTGCACCGCACATGTTGTGGAGGATGTGGTGAAAGCAATGTCTAATACCATCCTGCAGCAGTAATTCTTACAGCAGATATATGCTGGGGCAAGGCTATCAAATCAGCTGTGTATCTGACTTTATTGACACTATAAATTGGTAGAAATCAAGAATTTATCAGTGGATTTAGATTGGTTAACTTCAAGAATTTTTAGTATGCAATACTGGCAAATTGTAGATAGAGACAGTAAATATATTAAATTTGTTGTCAGCTAGGCTTAATTTTCTTGATACCCCTGATAGTACTTCACAAACCAACTGAAAACTTGCAGTTTAAGTTCAAATCTATATAAAAATTAATCCCACCCCTTCTACAAGGGTTGCTGGTTGATGCAGGCTCACAGGGCATGCAAAAGAATGCAAACAAGTCTGATCTTAAAACCAGAAGCATAAGTGAATGACTTTTTTCAGTATTATTTCAGTCAGATAAAATAAAAAAGGTTTGGGAATCCAAATATGTGTTTCCAGAAAAAAAAAGCCAAATAAAACCATATCAAAACAAGCTGTCCCTTCAGAACAGCATAGGGAGGATATATGAAAGTGCAGGAGGTTCTGATTTATTCTAAATATTTTCCTTCTCACAGATCCAAAGCTGCTATCTGCTGTTAGGCTCTGTTTTACTCTTCCGCTGGAGAATGTTATTCAGATTGCCCTTTTCACCTACTAAATCCGAGCAGGACAGAAGCAAAATAATGCTGCTGCAGCATGCCCAAGCTGCTATCCGTCTTTTCTAAATTTCCTTAATATTACCATAATACTTGGAGATTAAGCTGTCCCTTGATTGTGAACATAGCTTTCTCTCTGCCACAGGCTATCTGTACAGCTGACTTGGTAACTTGCTCTCTTGTTTCCTCCTGCAGTCTCATACTAACACTCTACAGGCTATATCACACACAGCCCTTTGTAATCTCTTGTACAGACTTCTTGTAGTTGGTGATTTTTATTGGCTATTATAGCTCATAAAGCCACTAGTGGATATCAGATTTAATATGTTCAGCGGACATCAATGATGTGTTTTATCTCTTGCTCTGAATTACAGCATTTCTAGGGTTTGCAAGTTCAAAACTAATACAGCACAGCAGAAGAGGCCTTTTAATCCTGCTTATTAGAAAATGGGAGTTTCTGACAAAACCCAAAGGCTCTGGCAGACAGACACCACACAGGTGAAGAACAGACACTGCAACACAATGGATTCCAAGCTGTGGTATCTCTGGCAAATGAGCTTCACTGGAGAAGCAGCATTTTTATTTTCAGGGAAGAAGCCACCTTACTCAGACTAATACTTACCCTTCTGAAGAAATGCCATCTTCCACAAAACAAAATGAGGTGCTGATGACTTGGATGAAGCAGTTGGAAGAAAGGCTTAGAGAGAATGTAGGCTCACAGTGGAATGGAGGTACTTAAAACCCAAACAAAAAGCTGAAACTTGCAACCACTAAAAAGTGTGCATTATTTACTGCATGCCACTGGACTGAGCAAGTTTCTTAGCTGGCTGCACTTTACCCATCTCCCCTACCGAGCAGCAAAAAATGTAATGCACTGAGAAGCAGGGTGAGAGGGGACAGAGTTATGATGCCCTCCTCCATGAAACTGTGTGTGCCCAGCTCACAGCCAGAAGCCAGGTGAGCTGGGTGGTGTTTCTCTGGCTGTGGTACCAGTGTGGTGGGACAGACTGCTCCAACACAGCACAGGAACCCAAGTTATGAGCAGTTGGGAAGGGTGTCTGTGCAGCAAAGCCTTCCAAACACCACTGATGTTTTATTTTTCAGATTATATTGTAATGATATCCTAACCACGAGAAGTCAAATTTCCCATCATGTCATGATTTCATCACATTAATTTCTCTCAGATCCCCAACTCTTACTATGTGCCAAACAATCATGGTCCTTTTTTGGTGTGCTTTATCATCTCCAAGCTTCTCCTGTAATCTGTAACCCACTGGCAACTAACATTTGTACACCACTCCCCACAAACACCATTCAGGAAGAGACTGGACACAGTATTTTATGCACACTTAAGCATAACTATCCTGTTTTCACACTCAAAGACAGATGGGACATTTAAAGCACGCCAAATTGTAGGTACAAATCTGCATCACACTCTGGTTACCAACATGGAAATTCACCCCATTACCTACAACCAGCATTAAGGAAACCATGCAGGGCAGATTGTCCTCTACAAAACATCATGTTAAGACCATTTTTTAAGAAGAATGGCTATAATTGCTAAATATTCTCCAGTAAAATATTATTGAAAGGACACTTTCTCCATTCATGGGACATGACTGGACAGCACTAAAGATAATTCATAACCACAAATTCCCAACTGGGAACTCTGGGATATCAGCAGTTGCAGTGACATGATTTTTTTTATGGTATTTGGCTTCTTTAAAATGAAAATAGACTATTCATAATTCATCTCCCATTCACTGAAGAACCTTCATTTAAAGGAAAAAAGCATTCACTTAAAAGTTAAGAGCATGCATGAATCAAATATGGAACTAAAAGACATTTAATGATATTTGCACAAACACTTGCCAGCAATGACTCTGATTTTAATTATGTAGTGGATAACTAAACAAGTCCAGTGGTATTTTGCAGCCAATTCATAACTCTGTGGTCCCTGTCTCCTAGACCAAACGTGTTTTGCAGCTTTTGCACAAATATTTTTCATTTTGCACCCTAGTTTTACAGCCCCTAATTTTTTTCCTCTACTTTTTAATTTCTAAATGCTCTCTGTTTCTAGCTATACAATCAACCATAGTGCACACAAAATATAATGTGGGATATAAAACTGTGAAAATAAAATCTGGGAAAGTTGTAAGCAATTTTTCTAACAAAAAAAAAAAATGTTTGAGAAGACATAAATAAAGATTTTAATAAGCCTCACACAAACAGGCACATGCCTACTCATTCCTCCAAATTGTCAGAGCTCTTGCATAAGACTTCTTTTATATTCGTCTTAGTCCCTGAAGTTACACATGTCTTAAAGTTAAAAAAGATAGACTTGTTAATAACACACAAATGTTCATAGACATAACATCTTTACAGATATCCTCTGTGAGCAGATCAAGCCACTCTCCATATGTATTTAAACATAGTGGAAGGCTGGAATTTTTAAGTTGTCAGATCTGCGCCTGGGTAAGAGGGGCTCTATTTTCACTCTTGGAGCAGGAAGAGATTAGCAGCTTGAAATCACTTTGACAGTTTCAGTTACTCTCCTGCATACTGTAGGGAATTTTAATTCCAACCTGTGAAATTGTAATTGCTTCTCAAGAAGAGCAGGAGGATTCTGGGTAATGGCCACAGCCAAGCTTAGTGTCAAGAGTTGCCAGTTGCTGCCACTTCTGATATTATCTGCTATTATTCAAAAATCACTCCAACCTTCCATATGGGAAGTTGAACCGGGAAGTGAAACTAGATTAACAGTAGCTGTCACATGTTCAGAGATGTGCAAGGAATGATGTCATAGAGGTGAATCTCCTCAAAAGGCACCTTTTCTTCTTTCTCTTGCTTTATAGACAAGATTTACATAAAATCTTCTTCTATGTCATACTCTTTTTCTAAACTACTATTACTAGAAAGCTACAATGAAAAGACTTTAATGACAAAGTCCTCCAGCATACAATGCACAAGTAGAAAACGAAACGTGTGTACTTAATGCTGTTAACAACAGATTTAAGATGTCTTTGCTACTCAGGGTTCTGTAGTTTGCAAGATCCCTCATTGGAAACAGCCAAAGAGAACTCAGAGCTACCACAAACACTTACAAAAAATATTTGAGACTTTCTTGGTATCAAATGGGAATTATATTCTCTTTTTTGCTCTGACAAAAGGTCATTGAATGTAGATTGCTTATTAGCAGACACATTCTCTAGTGATGAGTGTGTTCAGCATGTGTGAAAGTGGGATCAATTGACTATGAGGTAACTTTTCCTGCAATGACCTTGTTAAGCTGGAGTGCAGCAGATTTCTCACCCACCCTGATGGTTTACAAAGAAGGAATACTTGGAAGTAGGTCTCAAACATAATGTTGATGTAAAAATTAAAAATGCCACCTGGCAGGGTACTTAGGGCATTCAAGGAGCCTAACAGGATCAGAATTCACAGATCAGATGTGTTCAGATCTACTTTTCCATGAGGATGATGCACTTGTACAGTTCAACCCACGCCCATTGAGGTTTCCCAAGCTGCACAAGTAGCCTCAGGCAGTCCAAGCTTGGTCCAGGTGAGCTGTTTGACCAGAACTGATTTGCTCAGCTCAGCAGCTTTGGAAGCTTTATTTGTACATAAACAGAACACAGAAACAGAACAATGACAAACACAATGCTGCTTTACAACACGAAGTGTCAAAAACCTCTCTCAAAATCTAAAGGAAAGCAACAAAATACTGATAAACACCACTTCCTACTTATCAGACTAAAGCTCAGTTTAAGAATATACTGCAGGCAATGTCATTTACAAAGTCTTCTTTGGCCTCTTTCAGTATATTGCACTATTTCTAAGAAAATAAGCTGGTCCCATTAAAGTCAACGATGCAGAGAATCTAAATCACAAGCTTCGTAAATCTCTGTAATAGCTGATGCAATGAGTCTGTAATTGCCACGATTAGATAAGCTAGAGTGGCTGACAGAGATAATGCTAGAGACACACAACATATCTGCATAGATTACTCCCATCACATGTGAAAGTTTGGCTCGAATATGATTTTGCCAATCCACAGTTTTCCTGAGAATCTAGCAATCTGTGGTACTTTCCTGAAAATTTCAACTCCCAGAGTCCTGTTGATGCGGTTTTTTGAGAATTTTTCAATTTGTTAAAAAAGTAAATTACTGATTGTTATATATTCCTTGTTGTACAGAAAATCTTGACAAAAAAAGCATGCCAACAAACAGAAGCAAATTATGGGTATGGTTATTTTTCTTTTAAAATTCACAGATTTTGAGTCTTGGCTTATGACTTTCAGTGGTTGCTGTAAGAAATATAAAATCTGAGTGATCACACACCTGATTTCCTGAAGACAGTTACATCTGTTGTTATAATTTACAGGCTGTGCTAAAAGCGTTGTGGTGGAGCTTCCTGGTTAATTGTGTGTAACTATTACAAATCCCCAATTTATAAGGTACAAAGCACTCTTACTGGGGGATTATTCCTCTGCACTGTAGAGATAATGTACTGGTTTTGACTGGGCTAGAGTTAATTTTCTTCACTGCAACTGGTTTGGGGCTATGTTTTGGAGAGCTCGCACAGAGTCAAGGCCTCTTCTGCATTTCTGGGAATGGCTGAGCACCTGCCTGTCAAAGTAATTAATGATTTATTTCCTTGGTTTGCTTTGCTTGTGTGCAGCTTTTGCTTTACCTATTTCAGTGTCTTTACCTCAACCCCTAAGTTTTATCACTTTCACTCTTCTGATTCTTGCCCCCACTGCAGGGGGCTGAGCAAGCATCTCAGCTGCCCACTGGGGTTAAACCACAACAGCCATGTAAGACAGCTCAGCTCCATCTGGATATGACACAAACATTAAGAAAACCCTCAGCAGTGCCTGTGTTATGATTTTAAACAGTCTCTGCAAGTGGAAGATTGGATGAAGATTCAGAAAGGTGACAAGGCATGAGCAATTCTACAATATGATGTGGTCAAGTGATGGAAGACCTGGGCACACAGTCCAATCCCTGGCTCACCAACACGCTTCACAGGATGTGTGGAGAGCCTCTCATGACAAAATGGTTTGAATAAAGTAATTAGGAATTTCCATTGTGTAAAATGCAACTGCCCCAACTAACAGAGTAATAATTGTTTTACTGAACCAACACAAAACTAAGACATTCCCAGGTAGTTCTCTAAGCATTGTATAAAATCTACAGACTGTATTAAATCCATCTTTTAACAGAACTCTATCGCCCAAACAACATTTTCCTAATCAATTAAACACCTTCAGAACTATTTCTATGTAAAAAAATATTTCTTCTTATATTAATAAAGACTAATAACTTGTTGAGAAGTTGAGAGATGCAAGATGGCAGGCAAAAATTCTTTCAGACATGACAGCAAAATAAATAGCAACAAATAACAAACTTTAATGGCCTTGCAGCGTTCATTCTAATGTAAAAAGACAGATATCAAATGATCACAGTGCGTCAAGCACAATCTTTAGGAAAGCTTTAAATAATCTACTCATAAAAGATGACCAATATCACTCAATGGAAAGATTCCTTACAAACTTATTTCTATTTCTGCTCCTTGTTTTTCTCATGTGGAATGTGCTTGGAGAATTGTTTACCTGGGGTGATTGCTTGATTGGATTCTGGTGAGATTGTATGAACCTGATGGCAAATCAGATCCATCTGTGTCTGGACTCTTGCGAACAGGGTCATGAGTTGTGAGTTAGATTTGGTAGTTAGAGAAAGTAGTATGTAGTTTTAGTATCTTCCTTTATATTAATGTATTACAGCATAGTTATATAAAGAAATCATTCAGCCTTCTGAACTGAGTCAGACATCATCATTTCTTCCCAATCGGGTTTGCCTGCATTTACAATAAGTATGTAATGCAAACATTGCATCATTTTAGGAAAAAAAGAAAAGGAAAGATGCAACAAACTACCAACCAAGGATCTACCAATGTTCTACCAACCAAGGATCTCAGGTTTTGACAAGATAGGCCTTCCCACAGCTTATTAACCTTCTCTGCTTTGAATGACAGAAAAGGCATAGAGTGAGTACCAATTATTGCCCAATTTATATTAGCTTGTTTTTTCCTAATAAAAAAAAAAGAAAGAAAGAAAGGAAAAAAAGATTTGTTGGTAAAAATGATTCCTTTGAAGACTTTGAACAGCAGTTTTATTGTTTTAATAAAAGCCCCATTCAGTTCACAGTTCTGTTTTCATTCCTCCATAGTAAAACATAACAAGAACTGCCAGCAGAGCCAGGCTGACAGACAGGATCTTCACTCCACCTCCCTCTTGTTGCCATGGCAGCTGCAAAGCCATCCAGGAGCTGAGCCGTGTTTTCACTGGGATCTCAACAGAAGGCTGTGCTTTCCAGTTTGTGCCGTTCTGCACTGAACGTCTGAACTCCTGTGAAGAAATGCACACATTAGGATTAAAACTGTGTTCTGTCTTTCTGATTTTGCATACCAAATACACTCTCCTCTTTATACTGCGGTGAAATTAATGTCCTTTTCACAACCAACAATTCAACCTGCACTGTATCATCCTCAGGTCATCAGTTTTTCATACAGGAATCTTATAAATGCCATACAAAATCAGCATTTCTAATGAAATTAACTGCCAAATCAATGCAGCTGTTAGCAACAGAAACAAATCTCCAGACCTCACTGCCATCAGAGACAGTCATTTGATGGTTATTTTTTAATTTGTTTTGTTGCTATCTCACTACTTTCCGATTTTTGGCTTCTCCAAAAGAAATGTCTAACCAGTGATAAAGGGGACCACAACACTCAATCCTTTGCACAGCAGGGATCTTCTAAAGTCAATCATCGACTCCTGGTGTGCCAGCTCAGTGGTGCTTGAAAATCCTCCCAAAGGGCTTTTCCTTTCCCCTGACCCTCAGGAGGCAGCTGTGCTAAAACACTCACCTTCTCATTCAGTATATTGAATCCAGTTCCCTGCTGTGCCTGCCATTACCATTCCCAACCTGACTGCAAGCACCAAGATCCCCAAGAAAATGATGTCTTTTAACTGCAGCACAAGTTACAGATGTTGCATCACTATTTTAGCAGAAAATCCAAGTGAAAATAATAAAAGGCTCTTTTCTCTTGCACCCTTATTCAGTTCAGTATTGCAGATACTCCAAAGAAAAAACATTCATTGAAACTCTGATAACATTGCAAGAGATTTAAGTGGTAAAGGTGTAATTAAACAAAGGTGTAATGATGCTGCATCACCAGATGCACTATTTCTGTTGATCATATCTGTTTTCCTCCTCTGTATTTGAATAATCTTCTAGGAATTCAATTGAGTTCAGATGGATTTTTAATTGGTTTGAAATTTTCCAGTTAAAAAAAGGTTTTTGATAAAACCATTTTATTTTTTTTTCCCTTTCACATTTTGTATAAAATAAATCAGGGACCCAGAAAGTACCTATCTGGACAATCTTGTGTTTCCAAGAAGCTGAATCAGGGCCACATGGAAATACAGACCAGATGCCCTCTCTGTCTTTTACCAAACATATTTCTGGGCAAACTCAAAGAAATATCAAAGCTCCAAGAAAGGTGCCTGCCCATGAAAGTGTGACAGCACAATTCAAACCTTCTGTAACTGCCTCCTGTTTTCCATTTCAGCAATCAGCTCCATTAGAGTAATTGTGGAAGGAAAATAATGATTACTACTGGTTAGGTAAGTAAGCATCAAAGGGGCAAATGATAGTCTAGAGTAAGTGCTATTCTAACAACTGAGTTATTGCTGACTTAGATCTCAATTCACACAGGCAAAGGGTTACTGATCAAGTGAACTATGAAATGAGGATGACTTCTCACACATAAGCACCTAGAAGAATGTCAGCTGGGTAAACAGTGGAAAGGAAATAGGCAAGCACACTGGTTGTAATTCTCCAGTGTGAGGCACAGTAACAGCACCACTGCAGAACTTCAGTCTATATTGTGCAGAACATGATAACTTAATCAAAAACTATTGTTAAGCTATTAATTTAGCTTAATCATTTTCTAAGGCATCTGAAATTTTAGCACTTGGCCACAGCTATTTTGTCCTCCCAAATCAAAGCTGATTAACCTTTGCCTGAAGATTAAACTGAAAAATGTACAGTATTAAGGATTTTTTACAAATTAGTCAAAATTCTTTGGCAATTTATTCTTTTGAGACATTTATAAAGCATTTCTTTTCTTTGCAGGTCTCACAGATCTCTAATGTAAGGTGCTTAATTTATGGTAATGACCTGTTTTTATATGTATTGTTGGTACATTAATACTAAGGCTAAAGTGATTTAAAGGAATGGATAAGGCTGTAAAAATATCAGTACAACTAAAGTCTTATTTCTTCTGAGATTTATTTTTCACTGAATCGTGACTTAAAATTTGGCTGACTACAATCAGCCTATTGACTCCTAATTAAATATTTCTACACTGCATGATAAAATCATAGTCATTTACTCATACAAGATTAGATGCTATCCCTTGGCAAACAGATAAAAAGGGCCAGTACCTCATAAATAATGTTGGACCTTCTCCTCAGTGCTCGTCTTCATGCTCAGCATTAGTTCCTACCTACATGTCTCAGGAAGACTAGGGACAGCCAGCAAAATGCCCCAAACACAAATTGTAAGTTGTAAAATGTTTTGAGAGACTTCTTTTAAGTTTTCCCCTGCACTAACAGTTAAGCACATCAGTGTTTCATGCATCCAATCATGTTTCTGTAACACAGTTTACAGTAGTGGTTTCACTGGCATTTCATTTATGTTATACAGTTTTTCTGTTTTCCAACATAAAACTAAAGAGTCTCATCTTGCTGGTATAATTTTGATCATTCTTATACTGCTTTTTTGTGTTACCATACAGTTTTCTTACACCTCTACTATAACATGCACTGCATATGCATTAGGTAGTGCTGCATACTGCTGATAGGACAGAATGACACAAGAAATTTTAACAAGGTTTACGAAGTTCCAGTGGTGGTGAATGCTGCTGGGGAGCTGTACCAGTGGCGTTTCATCTAAGTCAGCCTGCACAGCTGTGAAATCTGTCTTTTCCTTACTTCAAATACTTCATCGTATTTCCAATAAATGAGATGATCATACAGATACAGTAAACCGATTTTTTGTTTTCTTTTGGTAGAAAGACAAAAATATCTCAATTTGCAAACTGAAGTGACCCTTTTCTTAAAGACATCACAGCCTACCTCTTAAACATGCTGTGTTTCTGTTTGATAATGTACACCTCTTCAGGTGATCCTGCCAAAGCTTACCTTTCAAGTAAAGAGTGTATTCATCTGATTCATGTTTTCTAAGCACTGTTCTCTGGTTTGGCCCAAAATTCTGCCTGACACATGAGTAATACCACAGGTTTCCATGAAAATTTCCCTCATTATCATCACAGACCGTGCATCTGTTAAAAAAAAATGGTACATCTGTCTCCCTGTGACTGAAAGGCTCCTGTAGGAAATAACAGTCTTTTCAATCCTGAGATTCATACAGGGCTTTTAAACCCAGGATAATCACTCAGAGACACCTGCAGGTGGATGCCTCTTCCTCAGAGCCTGTCGTGCCACTCGGTGAGACACAGCACAAATTCACCAGTGGGAAGAGGAGCTCTGCAAAGGGACTGTGTCACTGCACCCTCTCCCTCCTGAGTAAGGGCTGCGTGGCCCTTGCCATAGTCTGGGCAACAGGGATGGGTCTGTCAAGAATATAAGCAGTTCTTCCAGGCACACAGCTATCATATGAACAGCTGTGTTAGTGAAAAACACTGTATATATCATTCTATGATTATATTCTATGATTCTAAATTTGGTGTAAATAACCTCGGTGGAGGTAAAAATCTCATTTTTTCAACCAGCATTTACACTGTCCACTCACCATGCTCTCACTTAATTGAAGGATTAATTCTGAACAGTCCTTATTTGTATCTCTGTCTCTAGATAAAATAGTCATAGTGCATTAGTTTTCCAAGGAAATCTTTAAGTAATTGCTGTAATATTCTGACCTAATATTCTGATATAGCTGTGATATTTACCACATACAATCACTAGTCAGAGTGCAACAGTTCCTTAAGCTGAGCTAAGAAATCACACTTTTGTAGCTGCAAGAGTTAGAAAGATTACCATAATGATTCATTTCAGTGGAATTTAGAATAAAAATCAAAGCCTCTTTTAACAAAAAAAATAAAAAATGCTGAGAGGAAGCCCTAAGGTAAAGAAGTTTCAAAAATATGTGTTTATACTAGTTTCAGTCTTGATAGGCCACAAACTCTTTGGTAGACTTGTTAAGTATTGCTCTCACTAAATAGCACCACAATGAAGGAAAAGGTACTTTAAGATTTAAAATGATACACTGTTAATCAAAATGAGGAAAAGAAGGGAAATTACCAAAGTGAAATGCACAGACAGAGACTTTGAGCTAAGAATCTTGTATTTCCATGGAGGCAGCCTTTCATCTTGTTTTGGCAGTCACAAAGTAAACACAAGACTTTGCTAATAAGGTATAACATAAATTATTAAAACTTTTAGTGTATGATCAAATGCATTTCAGATTATTTTTTGAATAATTCTGCCTTGACGACTGCCAGAAGTAATATAGTTTGTGTACTCTTGCACAGGCCCATTGATTGCTGTCTTTCTGAAACTCCAGTCCCAGAGCAAACCACCGTGCATGGAAGAAAATATAATCACATCAAAACCTAAGATTTGGCATCTGTCGATCACAACCTAGCTTTTTGTAAGATCTCACTTCATGTTAGTCAACAAAGACATAAGAGAAACTCTTTAGCTCTGAGCTGAGGTTTTAATAGATTCAAAACATTTCTTACATGCAAATTTCTTTTATGGCTCAGGGGCACTGTTAGAGCTTGGAAGTGTTAGCTAACTGCTGTGAAAAACTTCTTGACTGAGCATATCTCAAGATAAATTAGACTTCTGAATTTTTTAGCCCAACCAAGTACATCACACACTTGTACTACTGGCTTTAAAAACACGGACTTTTACATAATCATGCACAACAAGTCTGGGTGACAAATTTAAAGAAAACATGTTAAAATATGCATTACATCTCCTGCTGCACTATTTGAAACTCTGGGCTATTACACTTTAAAGGCATTTTTCAGATTTAAAGAAACAAACAGTTACTGAAGGTCACAGAGATTACACATCCAAAAAATATGTCAAGTTAGTTTCATTGAATAGTTCTGGAAGACACGCTTAGGTCTGTAGGTATTAAGAAAATTCCTTTGATTTATTACTTTAAAAATTCTACCAGCCTTCTGCAAATGTGGAATGCTGATCTTAAATTACAAAATAAATGGCACAGAAAATATTTTTTTCCTAATGGAATTAACATGGTAATTCCTATAAGAAGCATCCCTGCCATCATGTATTCCAATGAATGTCCAGTACAATTCTGTTAAAAGAAAATGCTGTCTACAAGCATGCTTGTGTCAGATGTTATCAGCTGTACACCATTCCTAGGAATTCCAATACAAACAGTGTTTACTTAACCATTTTTTAAAAATGACAAACCTGGAGAGAAAAAATAAAGCAGTCAGTTCCTTTTGCAAAGGAATTTCATGTTATTTCTCCTTTTTGAGTTTTGAAAACATCCAGGGATGGACACCACAACCTCTCTGTGCCTTTTTTCCCCTGCTGGAGCCCATTCATGGGAAAATGCTTCTCTTTATATCCATCTGATCTGAAGCTCTCATTTCAACCTAGGCCCAGTCTCTCATCCTCCATGAGCCAATGGGAGGCACGTGGCTTGGTCTTGTCAGGAACCCCTGTGCAGGCACTGGGAGGTCTCTGCTGAGGTCTCCTGAAGCCACCCCTGCTCCAGCTCTGCTCAAGCCTCAGCTGCTCCTCACAGCCAGCTGCTCTGGCCCCTGACCAGCCCTGTGATGCAAATCTGAACTCCTTACAGTTCCCAGCTCCTCATTTCCGCCAAGATCACTGCAAATGACCCAGCCAAAGCAGGTCAGCAATACTCCTAGAAGCTGGATATATACACAACTATAGAGGTAAAAATGGGAGGCTGTAGAGATTGATTGACCTTAAGCTCATCTGCATTAAATCTGACAGTTCCTTCCAGCTGTCATCCTTTATGGTGACCATTTTTAACTGGGGCCTTCCCTGACCTGCACAACAAGTCAGCAAAGTCTGTGCTCTTTCCAGTAACACCTGCATGATCTGTTTGATTCCTTTGATCAGCATAGAAAAAAACAATTTGCTCACTACTCAACTTTTACCTTGATTAATACTATAGTAATTCCTCCTGTCCATTCTCTTTTCCTTCTACTTCTCCTCATTTCTCTCTTGCATCATCTGATCATGCAGTCTCTCAAATAAACAAAGGCAGAGATGCCACTAGGAACACAAATCATGTCATACAGATGCACATCTGGAACTTCCTCCTCCTACATTAACATTAAATTCAAATTTTAATATTCCTATTTAGGAGTATAAAATGAATTAATTTTCTCTCTGTAAATTCCCACCATTACTGTATGGCTGCATTGGTGTTTTTCTTGGCAGACATCTCCCTGCTCTCTTCCATGTTCTTACCTAAGGGTAGACCCTTGCCTACCTACTTCTTTTTCCTCCTCCAGTCTTTCAGATTATTCCTTCAATCAGCCCTGAAAATTCAAAAAGCACTTAGATGCTAGACAGAAGACTGAGAAACTGGGGCTTTTAAAATAATTTCCTTTGTGATGTACACTTTGAGCAGGAAGGAAACAACCTAAAAGCTCAATAAGCAAAAGAAACAAAAACAAGAGAAACAACCAGTTGAGAAAACACAAGCCAAAAACCACCTCCAAAATGTTTAAAACACAGTCTTGTGCTGTTTTTCATTATACTCACTTGTTTTAGCCTGTTTCTTTATATTTACCTATAAATGTTTCCAGCCAGGACTTGACTCTTTCTTTACATATTTGTATTTTGTGCTTCTATTAAACTTAATGACTCAGTATCATTCCACTACACAAACACTGCACTGTCAAAATAACCTGTCATTCAAGGTCAGACACAACATCTTTAAAAAACAGTGTGATGCCTGGATTCTGAGCTTTATTTTTCTTGTAATAAGGTGTGTGGGGTGTCAATCACTCTGACAGAATCAAAGGACATGACAACCAGCATTCCAGCCAGCACCTGCAACCACAACAGAACTGAAAGATCTTCTAAAGAGAAAAAGTTTGCGTTTCAAAAATCACAGTCAATCAAGCAATAACTTGAAATGAAGAATGAACATAGCAGCACAACGTGGACAAATTCAGGATGGGCTTCTGTCACTATTTATCTTCCTGTGCATTGGACAGTTTTATGATGGAGATGGCAGGTACTTGCTCTGGGCACTTATTTGGTAATTAGCTGGCTAACAGACAAATCTGCTTCCTAGAGATCACCAGCACAGGCTTCATGGCTTTGAAAATACATTACAGTGAATTACAGGATGCACATTAACTTGTAGTAACACTAGATATCCTTTTTCAGCATGCATACCATGACCTGTGTTATTAGATGCCATTCCATAGGATTCCAGCTTGTTCCTTCTTTAAAGGATCACTGAGATTTTTTTTTTTTCCCCCAGGGTGGGGTGTTCTTTTAAAATAAGAATTTTAAGGTTGTGTTTATAATACAATAATTTTCCCAGTTTGTTTTGTTGTATGAGGAAAGAAAGACAGCATGTGAATGTTCAAAGTCTGCTCTACAAGTGAGAATATTTCATGAAATATGGTATACTTTTTTCACAGTACAAGCTTTCAGAGGCCATCACCTTTTTGCTTCCATTTTAAATCTTGAAACAACAGTGACAATTATGTGGAGGTAATTGGTAGCTACAGGCAAAGACACAAAAGGTTTCCATCAGAAGGAGTACCCCAGTAAAATGGATAGCTAGATCTGAAAATGTATATTCATGTCACAAGAATCACCAATATAACTGAATGATATTCACGTATCAACAGTGAAATGAGTAATACTGGTTTTACTCAAGGGATGTTGTCTCTCAAAATCAGGAAAGATTTCAAAGATCTTTCACATACAGCAAAGTAGAATAAACTGATATATGTACATATTCTTGGCTAAAAGCCTCCCCCTTAATCCTAGAATATGTCATAATCCTGAATTTATGGTGTTTTCATTTCTTCCTACAGAACCAAGCATTAAAATGGAATGTTCCTCAGAGACTTACATAATACAACAACCTCAGAGACAAAGGATACAGCCCTTCTTACACTTCAATATCGTGGGTAATAAACATTTTAAACACTTTGCAATGATACTAGGTTCCCAAGTTTCAAATTTCATTCCAGTAGGTATCTGTGGGATCTATATGCCTCCCTCATTTTACAGGGAGGGAAAAAAATACAGAAGATTGAAGTGCCTCCAGTGCCACAATGCAAGTCAGAAATCGGGTTTCTACAATTCCTGTCTCAGATTCTAGCTGCCAGCAGAAGCCAACATAGCCTGTAAAATCTTTTATGTCTGTCAAGCTGAAATTTTAAAATAATTTTCTTAAAGCTAGACAATGCCTTAATATGCAGTCTCCTGTCAATTTCTCTTACATTTATTTTCACAGACTTTCCTGTCTAGGATTAAACACCTCCAGTCCCTGGGAGTGCAGATGCTCACCAAGCACAGCTGGAACCAGACCTTGGCAGAAAGAAGCATTTAATGTAAAGCCTAAAATTTACAGTTAATACTGTGTGACTGATCTTGACCAACTTTGTGGGTTCAGTGATAAAACAAAGGTTTTCTTTTCACATTGTTGTGGCCTCTTTCCTTAGTTGTTTTAGGAGGTCTCCCACAGTGCCAGTTAGAACACTTTTGAGCACCTGAGGGAGTGTCTGGAAATCTGTGTCTCCTTTTTAATTTCACACTCAGTCAAGTTCAGCTGCAGTTAATGGAGGGCTCTCTCATGGAAACATCAAACAATGGTTACTTTCTGTGATTAGCAAGCCCAACTGCTCTAACACAATCTCTCTATCCTCAGTCACCACAAATGATTTGTCAGCCCTTCCCCATAAGAAAGATTACATGAGAAAAACCTTTCTTGGCTTGCAGTGTATTTTATGCTAGATAATCATGATAGCACCTTGGCACTCTGTCTAAGACATCAAAGAACAGTAAGTATCCAATCTGCAGGCTGGAACAAATATCTACCCTCAGGAGAGACTTCGTATTGTTCACAGGGTGGTCTGATCAAACTTCTGCAGTTGTACAGAAGTGCCCGAGCAGGGACTTGCACCCTGTCACGCTCAAATACTGACCATTTATACCCACTGCACCTCAGTCTTCTCCCACATGAGTGTTGCACAGTATATCAGCTTGTACATGATAATTCTGAGGATTAGCCCATGAGGAGAAATTAATTTCTTCTGGAATTAACCATGAAGTAGAAAATACTAATTTTCCTCTTTTTCTTTGATATATTGTCCCCTGGAGTTGTCTTAAATACTGAAAAGTAAACACTGCAGTTTGCTTGAATACATGCTACAAAATTTTAATAATTTTAAGTATCTGTTTCCAAGCATCTTTATCTGGCCACCATCAAATCTGTTCTCCAGACTAACCTTTTAGTAGACACTATAAACATCTGCCTCATCTTCATCTGTGAAATGGGAAGACAAAAGCTACATTTCAGGAGGATAATGTAAACATAAACTTAGAACTGTTTCTTAAGCACTCAGAAATTTAGTTATGGAGGTCACAGGAAAGGTTAGAAAAAAATAAGTAACTCCCTTGAAAGAGAGGTTTAAAAGGCATGTAACAACACTAATATTACATGACAAATAATGAAGAGGAAAAATATCTAACAGTAGCTTATTGAATTGGACACTAGGAAAAAAAATTTTACCCAAAAGGTTGTCAAGCATTGGAACAGGCTGCCCAGGGAAGTGTCTGAGTCACTGTCCCAGCAGGTATTTAGAAGGTGTGTGGATATGGCATGTGGGGACATTGTTTAGTGGTGGACTTGGCAGTCCTGGATTAGTGGTTGGACTTGATGTTCTGTCCATCTGTCTGGAAGGTCTTTTCCAACCTAAAAGATTCTGATACTAAAGATTCTGATACTACCTCTGTGCATAAAAATTTGCACATGGACACGTGTGAAATACTGCATAAGCACCTCATAAAAGACTGAAACACAGTACAGCTGGCATTTACACAGAAATGAGGATTGTTAGACTTTCCTCTGTTTAGAAAAGGCTACTGGTCTTTGAGAATACAGCCCATAATATTTTAATACACCTTTCTCTCATATTTTACTGTTGCTTTTGTCTCTAGGTGAATACAAGTATTGACAGCAATTGACTCCTGGGCAAGTTGAGTCCTCCAAATGATTTCAGTATCTCTGTGTATCCTAGTAACTTTTGAACTACTCACTTCAACAGTGAGACAACAGCAAGGACTGGTAAAAAAAACCTTCACTCAAATGTAAATCACTGCTTCTGCTGAGGGAAAGGCCAGACCAAGGCCTCAATGATCTATTGAATTCCACCACCCTGCTGAGCAACCTGTAGTCCTGAAACTCCAAATGACATGCAGTAGTTACACAAACCAGGAGAAGTTACAAAAAAGTGAGAAAAATATAAATAAAACAGATGATGACCTGAAAGTGGCAAACATATACCAGGTGTCTACAGGGGTGAAAAATATAAGCCCACAGGGATGACAACTGTGGGGCTTAATGTAGTCTTTAACAAATTGATGGGTTTAGATTTTAAAATGTTTAATGTCTCCATATTAAAGCTTAACAGCACTACAACATTTTTCTTTTATCACACAAGACACTCCCCCAAAGTGTAATTCACTCCTTTCCAGCTTTTAAGAGCTGCACATCTGGCTTTCCCCTGTGGTTCTGTGACAAAATCTGATTATGCTACAGAATCTTAAGCACTCCTCACTGAAAAAAATAATGAACTAACATTTCTTTGGACAAGAGACACATAAGCTGAAAACAGAAAAGAATTCCTGTCATTCTAAGCACCACTTCCATCATTTCACCAAATTAAAGTTCTTGCATTTTGAAAAAAACTATCTCTGTCAGAAATGGATATTCACAGCTGTCCTTTTTGTATGAAAATTATGTTATCTGCACTTATCAGAGATTTTGTATGTGAGAATTGCAAAATAGTTTCCACACGGATAAGATAAATCACAGTCACACTGACTGAAATGACTTAACAATCACATGTGAAGTAATGTCAAAACAAGGACCAATAGTTAAAAAAAATCCTCTAGTCCTGGTAACAGGACCCCTTTCCTCAGGACCAGAAATCCATCTGGTTGATATTATGCAAAGGTAGTTTTTGCAGCTATGTGATTTTTTTGACAAAAAGAACTTGAGTATATTGCCTAGACAATTTTATTCCACAAAAAGTACTTTCACAAACATTTCCAAACCACTCCAATCCAAAATGGAGCATTTGTTCGAATTCTGCTACAGTACAGATATATGTATATATAGGTATGAAGAAGCATCTATCAATTTGAAAGCCAAGACATTTAGTGAATAATTTTCTCACACAATACTGTGTCAAGGACCCTTTGATTATACTGAGACTAAAGAAAAATAGTAATTTCCATGGGACTTTTTCTTTCTGTTTTGCATTTGACATCTGGCTCTCTAAGCCAGTCAGGATTCATTCCTTTCACCATTTATCAATCACACATCCATGTCAGGTTGTAGTACTTGGGTGGTCAAACCTTTTTGAGAGGTCACATGGGTCTACCAAGAGTTTAGCCTGCCATCTTACCAATCACCCAGCGAGACAGAAATATGTGTTGTGTAATTAATAGCTACAAGCTCTCCAGCTCCATACATCACAAGTTCTCCCACACAGATGACACTGACCTGGCAGCCCTTAGAAAAGAGGGTATTGGATAACACCAAATGAGCCAGGTCAACTCTTTAAGTTGTCCCATGCCAGAGGCTGGCCATTTCTGCCCTGGAATAAAGACAACAGGCTCACACACAAGTAGAGAGGGGTTCTTTACAGGCCAAGTCTCACAAAAGAGTGTTTCTACTGATAAGACCAGGTAAAAAAGGAAAAGAAAATCTGATAGCACTGTAAAACCAACACTCATTTGCTGAATTATGTTGAGCCAGGAATTTGGGATTAACTATTTTCTTATGGGCTGATGAGCTATCTACATCAAAAATGGCCTGCCTTTGGGTCCTTAATTATTCTGTGTTGATTGCCATCACCAAGAACAACTAAAAATGTACATTTCTTCTAGAAAAATATTTATAAACATTTTTAACTGTATGCTTTTGATTTATAAATTATCAGCCCTTTTCTACAATAAAGAATGAGAAAAATCCGTATTATTTCTTTAATACCATAGTGGCATTAATGAATGTGTAGAATAACCTTGGTTTTCACTTTATACGACTGTATCTTAATTAAAAATGACTTCATACCAGTGCTTGTTACCTTAGTGATTAAAAGCTGAAGCACCACTGCAGTACATATATTTTTCTCATCCTAATTCCAGCTTTTCTATAAGAAATAGAATGGAAGAAATATGCCCCGGATCATGATTTTATTATTACACCAAATCTGAGTTGTGGTCCTGACTCGAAGAAAAGAAATGAAACTAAATATGCTGGAATTTTAACATCCCATGGGCTTGAGTTTCAAGCACAGAAAAGCTGTGCTTGAAGCCTTCTGACTCTTTGGGAACCTCAAAACATGAACTGTTTCTGATGCCAACCTGTGAATCTGCTTTGAGTCAACTCTCTGTAAAAATGATGAACAAGTTTTGGAATATGTTGTGATGAAAAAGAAAGGCCTAAAGGACCCTGCAAACAGCTGTAGCACCAATTTTACCTTAATGGGAACATATATGGGATTTGGGCTATCTACACTAACCCTACCACACCACCACCTTTCTGTTTTGTTTTTTTTTTTTTTTTTAACCTTTCATGCTAACCTGACTAGATTTTCAATCCAGAATTCCTTCATCCCACTGCTGGATCAAACCATTACAACAGATCCATTTGTAATTTCTGGGTAGAAGGGCTGTCATTACAACAAATCAGTAGAAAATCTTTTTGAATTTTTAAGAAGGGTTCCAAGGTCTGAAATAATAAATTGTAGGTGGGAGAACTCTACAAGTAATTTAAATACACAATGGGAAGTAGTCAGAGGAAGGTTATCAGTATAGTGTATTGCACACTAACCACAAGTAAAGTTGTCTTTAACAAAGTACTTAAATAACCAGTAATTTTTGTGTATCTTTTTTATGGTCTTTGATAAAGCCCACAGGAACAGCTTGCTTTGGAACTTGTTAAAAATAAGAACTGATCCTAAAGCTCTATTTAGGAGTCAGGTCCCATGAAAACTCATAGGCCCTGAGCCAAGTTCCTCAAAGGGAGAATGCAATTTTTTACATTATTATTGTGATTATTATGCCTGCAGTTTGAGAAGACTTCTTTAAAAATATCTTAGTGGGAGAGATTGTAGTAGGAGAGCAAGGGTTTATTTCTATTGTTATTTGGGCCAGTAAAACTGCAACAACACACCTTAATAACTAATGGCATGATAAAGGATCTGGAGGGAATGTTAAACTCGATACAGAATACAGCCTGCACAAACACAAAGTTACTGTATGTGACTTTTGAATAAGCAGCAGTTTTTAAGCTTGCTTAGATGCTATAACATTCTGTGGACTGTCTTTGAGCATACAGTCATTCTAATGTGTTCAACAGTCACAGTAAATTCTTTGGATATTCTAAGGTAGTTAGGAGCATATGCTCGGTGGACTAAATTTAAGGCTGTGAAGTTCACATACAATTTACTGAAGTATGGTATTTGAATATTTTAAGATACCTTTTCTCCAATGTAGCCATCAAAGAGAACTTATTACTCAACTGCAATTTAATTTCAGTCTAAGACACAGCCCCTGCAAATGTGCCTTTAAATTTTTATAT